TGAAGGCAATACCGTGATAAAGTTGCCTGTGTTTTGACCATCTCTCCTGAAATGGTTAAATGAATGGGTGCTTTGAATACCAGCAGGAATCTGCTTAGCAGCATCAACTGGAGCAGAAACGGCAGGCTTTGAAGCTGGCTCTTTATTTATTGCCTGCGCTTCACTTTGAACAGCTTGGGCATTTTCCGTGGTTGATTTTGGCGCTTCACCGCCCCCAAATAAGTATCCCAGTGAACTTTGCCCTCCTCCATAGCTGACTCCACGACCCATATCCCCAATTCTCTCTTGTTAAAGAGTTCCCGGAACAGCCTGATTCAAGAAACCAGCAAGATGATAGAAGCAGGCCATATACATTGAAGATAAGAGCAAAACTTTCAAATAAGTCAGTGAAGATGAAATGCATCAAGCTACAACAGAAAATAAGAAGCACGGCAGATAGTCAAACTACACTTTAAGCAATTGGAGACTGTCACCCTTACTAGTCTGTTAATAATTCAGAAAAGAACCAAGAAAAAATTAATAGAACTCGAAGAGTTTTGAGGTCTGCGTTTTCCTTTCCATTTCAACAAGGAAAAATTGGAGAGTGACATCACATTTCAATCACATATCAGAAGAAGAATACAGCTATTTGCCAACACAAGGCATCCTAAGCATGCAGGGGGAACGAAAAGAAACAGCAAGAAACAGAGACATATCTTAGTCACAACCAGAAGAGTAATATTCGCAAGTCACTTGCCAATCATCTTTCCCTCCTCTGAACTAAACCAAAATCATCATTATCTTTGAGGTCTAGAACAAATAAAAGAGCTCTCTTGCCTCTAAATCTAAGACAATTTCAGACTTGTCCTTATAAAAAAAGACAATTTCAGACTTGTACATTCCACCATAATTTGGAGGAAAGGGATATTTCCACTCTCCCTTCTTTATCGCGCTCTTGTTAGTCAATTGAGTTCTCCCTAGGCACCGCATTTTCTCTTTTTCCTTTATGACCTCAGTCGCTTGGTTGTTCTGACCTCGGGGATGTGGTTGATGATCAGTAAAAGTGGCTGGAAAGTGTTGTCTTCTCTTTCTTCCGCTCTTACCTCCAATGGCTAGAGGTGAATGAAGAAACTTGTCGATTCTCCAAGGCTCCACATTTTCTTACCACATTCCCAATTAAAAACAAATGGGGAGCCCCTAGTGCCGACCAAACTAGTCATTACTCCTCAAATCTTTGCCCCCACTAATACATCAACACCTTACCTCAACATACACCAGCCTAAGTTCTCTTCCATCATCAACAACAACAACAAATTCAGTATAATCCCACATGTGAGGTCTGGAAGAAGTTAATCTTCCAGTCAAACAGAGACAACCTGAACCTCAAGTCCTAAGATCCCAAATTTCTTGTCAAAATCTATAGCATACCCATTACTCACACTCTCCCTTTCTGAATGAGTAATCTTTTACTTGAACAAAAAATCTGAATCAAGCCTTAATCATCCAAGAATTCACACCCAATATTGCTACTTTAGCGAACAGCCGGTTCTCAAATGCTTAAACAAAAAATGAATTGCTTTTTGAAGTGAAACCCCAAATCTCATACAATGACAGAACAATCAAACAACAAATTAACAAGCACATAAAACCCAAATTCAGTTTTATTTCAAATATCAAACTATTAACAAAAATATCACAACTTTGAATCAAAATTATACACATACAGAAATACACACAAATAGAGACAAACCCAATATGCATATACATAAATCTGAATGATTTATAAACAGAAGATAGAGATCTGGGTTTAGAAATTGAGGGTTACCTTTGATTCTTTCGGATCAGATCAGCGTTTCTGGAGCTGTAGAAGAGAGACACTTTAATGATGAAAGAAAGAAATGAAAGTAGACTAGTAGTGGAGTTGCCCTTTTTTGTTTTTTCTATAGCCATTTGATATTTATTTGGTATTAACTGATCCAATTAATTTAAATTCCGGCCGCGTCAATATCATTATTAAAAAAAGGGTATTATTATTTTTAGCCAGCATCATAATTTATATAATTTTTGTATATAACATACATAATATATATTTATACAAAAAATATACACAGTATCATTTTCCTTAATAAAAAGTCTAAATCTTTTTTGAGGTTCCTCCATTCTTATGATTCAAGCCCGACACTTTTGTCAATAATTAAATAATATCGTATATCCAATCATGTCCTTTGATGGTATAGAGTTTGCTTGCTTAGTACTCTCGTAATATTAAATTTTGGTTTTATTTTAAAATATTTTTTTCGTATATTTTTGTCTAGTACATATTTACAAATGATAAAAGTGTCATAAGATATTTTAAAATATATTTAAAAAATGTAATAAGAATTATATTTATTTTTTAAAATAATATTTATGTTGAATAAGAACGAGAGTCTTGGAGCAATGGTAAAGTTGTCTCTTTGTGACTTATAAGTTACGGGTTCGGGTCATGAAAGCTGTCTTTAATACTTGCAATAAGGTATGCCGCCTACATCACATTTTTTGAGTGCGGTCTTTCTTTGAACCCTGCATAAAAATAGGATATTTTATGCGCCGTACTGCTATTTATTGTGTTGAATAAAAATGAAAAAAAAAGTGATTTGATGATTAGCACGACATGATTGTTAGGAAAATGAGGATGGAAATGGGATTTTTCGTGTGGGGGAGGTTTAGATGATAGAGATGCTTCTCCTTTACAAAAGGAAATAAAATGAAGAAAAAAACAAATATAAGAAAAGAAAGAAAAGGAATGAGCATCTTTGTTTTGCT